GCCGAGAAGTCGCCGCAGGGTCCACGGGAGCCGGCCTTTGCGCGCCACCCCCGACGGTCGCTCACGGGGCCTCGGAGCTATGCCTGCGAGGAGTGCGGGCGCAGCTTCAGCTGGAAGTCACAGCTGGTGATCCACCGCAAGAGCCACGCTGGCCAGCGGCGCCACTTCTGCAGCGATTGTGGTCGCGGTTTCGACTGGAAGTCGCAGCTGGTGATCCACCGCAAGAGCCACCGACCCGAGGCCCCGTGAGCACTAGACAGGGCAGCCCGCCTGGGGGCCTCGGAGTTTAGGGCCTGGTGGCAGCCCTGAGCATCTGCAGAGCTGCCTTGGTCCAGTTAACGCTGGGAGCAGCAGGGCATGGGACCAGGGGCCCTAGTGAGTGCCCTGCCCGGCTTGGCCTCCTCCAAAAGATCTGTGTGCAAAGAAGAGAGGCTGCCCCCTTCCTCTTTGCCCCTGCCTTCGGGGCGAGGCTTGGGTTCAGATCCACAACTGACCAGTGACTGGGGTGACCAGCAGGCCCCCACCTGTGATGTGGTGCTAACAACAGCCCACCCTGGGACTTGCTGTCCCCGGGGTGCCCAAATACTGTCCTCTGTACAGTGGCCATGCCTAGGGCTCAGCGTGGAGGCAGCAGAAAGCCCAGGAAAGCACAGCTGGCTCCTGTGTGTTAGATTTCTAACCTAAATTCCACTTTTACAGCAAGGAGTGTCGGAAGAAGAATCCTGGTTTCTGGCTTCTGCTGGTCAAAGGATGAATGTGTGCTCTCTCTGCCCAGCCACTGGAGCCACAGGGCAGTAGAGCCCAGAAAGTCAACTCTTCTGCCAGTCTCCAGATCTCAGCCTCCCTTGTTCCTCGGCCGCCCACTTCACCCACTGGCCTCACTGGCCTTTGGGCTGTTGGATGGACAGAAAGATTTTCTTTCCAGGCATGGATGGGCAAGGGAGACTTCCAAGAAGAGGGGCTATGAACAGGTGTCGCAGAGGCCATGCACACCTCCAGGTGAGGGCTGCAGGAGGGCAAAAGGCCAGCTGCCCTGGAGATGTCTGGATCTTGGGAAGTCACTGGGAACTTGCCAGTGCCCTGTATTAGTTTTTTACGGCTGCTTTAACAAACTTTGTGGCTTGAAACAACAGATTTATTCTCTTACACATATGAAGATTAGGACTCTGAAATGGACCTCACTGAGCTAAAATCAAGGTTTCAACAGGGCTGGTTCCTCCTGGAGTCTCTACAGAGAGTCCTTTTTGTTACCTTTGCCAGGGTATAGTGGCTGATTTGTGATCCCTTCCTCAAAGGGCAAAGCCAGCTATGAGCGGTCAAGTCTTTCTTAGGCTGCCAGCTCTCTGGCTCTGATCCAATCTCCCCACCTCAAGATCCCTAGTCACATCTTGTCCCCTCCTCACCTGCACATTTAATCACACCTGCAGAGTCCTTTTGCCATGTGAGATAACATGTTCACAGGTTCTGGGGATTGGGGTGGGAATCTTTGGGGGCCCCGATCCAGCATTCTTCTCCTTCCTACTCCGAAAACAAGGAGCATTTCCATAGGGGATGGTTTCAGGAAATGGGTATACGCTCAGAAGGCGCCCTCTGCAGCTGCCAGTGTGTACACAGGTGGCAGGTGAGTGTGGAGGTGGCTGTGACTGTAGTTACCCAGACAGGGGAAGGGCTACCTGGAAGAAGGGTGGGGACCTTGCTGCAGCCTGAAGCTGGGAGGGGAGAGGTCTCCCTCTGGAGGACTAGTCTTCCCCATCCCTGGTCTTCTTGTTTTTTTTTTAAACTAGTCAAGTTTAGTAGTGGGGCATTGTATACCAACCTTAATGACACCAATGTTAATAAGTTCTGATCTTCTACTACCATGATTGGACCAGCCCATCCCCAGTTTTCTGAGGACCTTCTAACCTGTTGCTCCCATGCATAGACTTCCAGAAGCAGGACCAGGCTGGATATGGAGCAGGAGGTGGGTCACCTGGTGGGCAAGCAAGAGGCGAGGTCCCTGCTGGGACATGGAGGAAGAGGACAGAGCAGTACCCATGGGCTTGGGCCAGGCCATGCAGGAAGGCTCCAGGGAAGAGGGCAGCTTTTTAATAAAGTTTTTCTTTTTGTTGTTGTTTTTGTTTTTGAGGTAGGATCTTGCTGTGTTGCCCAGGCTGGAGTGCGGTAGCTTGATCATAGCTCACTGCAGCCTCCACTTCCTGGGCTCAAATGATCCTCCTTGCCTCAGCCTCCTGAGTAGCTGCATGCTACTGAGGACTACAGCTACATGCCACCATACCTGTCTAATTTTTTTTGAAGGTTTTGTGGAGATGGGGTCTCACTGTGTTGCCCAGACTGGTCTCAAACTCCTGGCTCCAAGCAATTCTCCTGCCTTGGCCATGTTTATCCTTGAGTGGTGGGTTCCGTTCCCTGCCAGCCTACAGAATTATTCAGATCAACCAATTACATCCTCCAGCCAAAACCAGGCAATCAGCCTCTTGTTACTACAAAGCCTGCCTCCCATAGCTTTTGCTTCTTCACTGTATTCCCAGAGCTCTTTTATTTTATTTTATTTTTCAGTTGGAGTCTCACTCTGTCGCCCTGGCTGGAGTGCAGTGGCACACTGATGGCCACTGCAGCCTCAGCCTGCTGGGCTTAGGTTATCCTTCCGCCTCAGCCTTCCAAGTAGCTGGAACCACAGATACGTGCCACCATGCACAGCTAATTTTTTTATTTATTGTAGAGACGAGGTCTCACCAAGTTGCCCAGGTTGGTCCCAAACTCCTGAGGTTAGACAGTCCTCTTGCCTTGGCCTCCCAAAGTACTGAGATTACAGGCCTGAGCTACCGTGGCTGACCCAGAGTACTTTTCAAGAGAATATCTTAATTGTCAAATAGTTTACTTTTTGTCATCTTATTTCTAAATTAATTGGATTAATATTTAGAGAGGTGGAGCCTGTAATCTCTTCACTACACTTCGTATTCACCAGCATGATTATAACAAAAATGAAAGACAATAACAAGTGCGAGAAAGAGTGTAGATAAAATGAAACCCTCGTACACTGCTGGTAGGAAATGTGAAATGATGCACTTGCTTTGGAAAATATATTTACTATATATTTAACTTTTTGATGACCTTTCTAATCATAATCCAATAAACTTAGAAAGATGACAAAAAGTATACTATTTGACAAGATATTCTCCTAAAATGAACTCTGAATCAAAGAAAGGACTTGATATTTCTCTGCAAAATGACTCTCCAGCTGAACTTGCCAGGCCAAGAATAAAATTCCAACTCATACTGTGTCTTGCTGTAGAATTTACTTCCTGTTTTCCATGTTCTTGACAGCTAAGGGAAAGAATCTTTTGGGGTTGTAGAATTTGCGTTTTTTTCGGGAAATGGATATTAGGGCCTTTAAACCCAAGTCATTTTCAGGACTTGGGAGACATTATTTGGCATAAAAGTTCAAAGCCATGAAACAGTGGCAGAGTGAAGATGAATGCAGTTCATAAATTATGTTGCTGAAGCAAACTCACAAGCCTTTTGGTTTCAGAGCCCAGACAAGATCAGCATGGCCCTGAATGGCTTCTCATGCCCATCTCTATCCTGAAAACTTGTTAATGCAGAAGTTTACACAAGTAGGGGCAGATGACAAGTTAACAGCCCAATCCAATTAACAGAAAACAAACTGTTAGAATAAACCCGATAGGAATAGACAGCAAAGAAATATTTGTTGAAGGGTTACAGTAAAAAAATAATGGAGTCGGGCTCAGTGGCTCAGCCTGTAATCCCGCGCCTTTGGGAGGCTGAGGTGAGTGGATTGCCTGAGCCTGCAGGTTCGAGACCCGCCTGGGCAGGCGAGACCTCATCTCTACAATAAGTCAAAAAATCGGCCGGGCGTGGTAGCGCATGCCTATAATTCTGGCTACTCGGAATGCTGAGGTGGAAGGATCGCCGGAGCCCAGCAGGTCGAGGCTGCGGTGGCCGGAAGCAGCCACTGCACTCCAGTCTGGATGACAGAGTGAGACTCCAACTCAAAAAAAAGAAAAAAAATAATAATAATGGACCAGCCCCATTCCCAGTTTTCCAACCTGTTGCTTCTATGCATAGGCCTCCAACAAAAATAATAATAAATATACCCAAACTGTAGCTCTTTGAAAAGACCAATAAATAAGGCCAGGCATGGTGGCTCACATCCGTAATCCCAGAACTTTGGAAGGCTGAGGTGGAAGCCTAGGAGTTCAAGACTAGCCTGGGCAACATAGCGAGACCTTTTCTCAGCAAAAATAAAAATAAAAAATAAAGCCGGGCTCGGTGGCTCAGCCTGTAATCCCAGCACTTTGGGAGGCCGAGGTGAGTGGATTACCTGAGCCCGCGGGTTCAAGACCCACCTGGGCAACTTGATGAGACCTCATCTCTACAACAAATCAAAAAATTAGCTGGGCGTGGTAGCGCGCGCCTGTAGTTCCAGCTACTTGGAAGGCTGAGGCGGAAGGATCTCCGGAGCCCAGCAGGTCGAGGCTGCGGTGGCTGGAAGCAGCCACTGCACTCCAGTTTGGGTGACAGAGTGAGACTCCAACTCAAAAAAATTATAATAATAAATAAAATAAAAAAATAAAAAATAAGCTGGGCTTGGTGGTGAATGTCTGTAGTCCCAGCTACTGGGGTGGCTCAGGAGGGTGAATTACATGAGTCCAGGAGTTGTAAGCTGCAATGAGCTGTAGTCATGCCACTGCACTACAGCCTGGGTTACAGAGTGGGACTAGTACACACACACACAAAGAAAAGACCAGTAACTAAAATAGATTAAATCATTTTGAACCTGGGTGAAGAAATGAGAGAGGGTACTAAACTGTAAAAATGAAAAGGAGCCAGACCCAGTGGCTCACACTTTGGGAGGCGGAGGCAAGATGATTGCCTGAATCCAGGGGTTCGAGACCAGCCTGGGCAATTTGGCAAGAACTTGTCTCTACAATAAATCAAAAAATTAGCCAGGTGTGGTTGTGTGTGCCTGTGGTTCCAGCTACTTGTAAGACAGGTAGAAGGATCACCTGAGCCCAGCAGGTTGAGGCTGAAGTGGCTGTGAGTGTGCCACTGCACTCCAGCCTGAGCAAAAGAGTGAGACTCTGACTCAAAAAAAAAAAAAAAAGAAGGAAATTGAACTGTATGCACTTGAAAATATTTATATCCAAGAGAATATTGTGAACAACTACATGGCAACACATTTAAAAATCTAGTATCTAGTAGAAATAGATTTTCTACAACAAAACCCC